TTTTTTTCGCTATCGTTTCGATTAAAAATGGTATTTTTCCCGACTCTTGGTGAGAATGTATTCTTGGATCACCTCTGCACCACAATTTCCCTCGTTTCTCAGGCTGGAAGGATTCTACAACTTGCTTATCGTCTCATCTGTCAAAATTGCCCCATATCGTTGATGCTTTAATCGGATGAGTGGATTGATGTTTGAGATGGTGATGCAGGATGGCCCATACCCTTTGTTGTTATTTCTGTGTGCTGGAGGAGAAAAATTGCACATCTCAGTTTTATGCTTTCTCTCTCTGTCACGTGATGTGAGAGACGTCAGAGATATGAGCTGTTGTAAGTTTTTCTCCTGTCGAGGGAGCTATGTTAATTGTTGGTTGATCGTGCGGAAGGGTGTTAAATCTAGATCATAGCCACAGGTATGTTGAAGCAAAACTGGAGGCCAACTTCGAAGCTGTGTTCAAGTAGAAGGTAGAAGATGAATTAGTAGCGACGGAGGAAACTTATTTATTCTAGTCTCCCCAAATAGCAGGATCAAACAGAGTCTCCCAAAAAGCCAACCCCTGGCCGGGGTTTAGCATACCTAAATTTTGTGTTGCCGAAGCCAACTTCTTAGGCTACGCTGCTACGGGGCAGAAAAGCAGATTCTTAATCAATCTAATTCATCTAACTTGATGAACTTCAGAACTCGGGTTATTCGATCCAGTCTGTTTCCAGACACCAAACGTGAGTCGAAAGAAGAAACAAAATTTGAAATTCAAGATTATAACTTAATAAAGTAAGTGTAGGTATTGAAGTCCAAGTGGATCACTACTTAAAATTACGAGTAAATTGTAGCAACGATCCCTTAACTTTAATCAAATTGGAGCAATGATCATTCAACTAAAAATTCATTACCATTGGTCCCTCAACTTATCAAAATGTGTAGCTATTGTTCTTTTCATCAATTTCGTTAAAATTTTGTCAAAATAAGTTATGTTGGAATGACAATTTATACAATTAGGGTCTCTCAACTCATCAAAGTGTGTAATTATGGTCATTTTTGTCAACTACGTCAAAATTTTTGTCAAAACGAGTTTTGTTGGAAGGACTATTGCTACAATTGGGTTAAAGTTAAGAGACCATTTCTCCAGTTGAATTAAAGTTGAGAGATCAATGGTAATAGATTTTTGATTGAGGGACCATAGCTGCACGTGTTGATGAGTTGAGAGACCAATGGTAATGGATTTTTAGTTGACGGACCATTGCTCCAATTGAGTTAAAGTTAAGGGATTATAGCTACAATTTACTCTAAAATTATTATGGAAATGGATGTAGTTAGTATACCTAATTAAGTCAACTTGATAGGTCACCATGAGCTTATAAGAGCAAGGTTTGGTTTGAAGATAATGATATTTTAGAGGGAAAGGGATTTGGGGTTGTCTTTTTGTTTTATGGTAAAGTTCTAGCACTTAATAATGGTAATAATGGAAGTGTCACTTGTTTTGTTTGCTAATGATAATATTATCCCCTCTAATTTCTAATTAGGAAAGATAATTAAGGAGATTTTGTTGCTGCTCATTCACTCCAGAAATTGCGTGCGTGCACTCCCACCGTAGTGCTGTGCACGCAAACCAAGTTCTAGTGCTAAAACTTTTGTTTTGGAGACAGATAGATATTGCAACTTGGTTCTTGCTTTCAAAGTTGATTGTGTCCTATTAGAAAAATAAAAAGACAAATGTTAGCCGCCTAAACAACATATGACACGATTTAAGCAAGGGATTTTGGAAGTTTTAAGAAATTGAGATAAAGTTATTAAGGAATGAATTACACAACATTAGATGCGAGCAATTAGAACTGTCATTTATGAACATTACAAAGATATGTAAGAGAGATTTGTGAATTACTTTGTCGAAGTTAAGATTTGGGAATCCCTCTCTTACATTTGTAATGCTCATGAATGGTATTTACAGTTTCTGCATTTAACGTTTTGTTATATGTTTTTCAATAACTTGACATTAATTTTTTGTGATTATCAACACGAAGATTGATAACTCACATTAGTCTACACAGAAGATGAAAGCAAATATCAAAATGAACGATTACAAGACACATGTAATATAAACACAAGCTCAAAATGGGATATTGGGCGGGCTGCCTGACTAGGGTAAATCTAATTTTTTATAGAACTGCATGAAATTAGATGAGATCAAAACACAAAGGAGTCTCATACTTTAAGGAGAAATACTTTGCAAATTACGTTTTAGGCACCCTTACCCAATTTTTAATATCTACAAAAAGAGTAAACAAAAACCGAATTAATAAACCTCAAAGAGCTTGTTTAGGAAGTGTTTTTAAATGAATGAAATTGCTTTTAAAGAAAATGTTTTTGAAACTAACATTTAGTAAAAATGTAAGTTAATCTTGATAAACTGATAAAGCACTTCAAGTGCTTTTAACCCAATTTTTTATTTTTAGAATTATTATTAGCACTTCAAAAATTTTATTTTGCACTCCTAACATTCTATAATTAAAAAATTAAAAGATACACTCATGATGAGTGCTAATAACAATTCATATTTTTTTATCTATAAGTACTTTCAGTCATTGAAAAGCACATCCCAAACCAGCCTAAAACCTAATCAAAACCCAATTAATGCTTATGTGCCTTCATCCCGCCTCAACCTATACATATACATGCAATGAACTTTCAAGGTCTCAAAAGAAAGAGAACCAATAAGCAACATATATTCTTCTCCATTTATGAAGAGATTTTTCAGTGTGATCGGAGCACGGGATGATACATCACATGTCAGTATATAAATGGTAGGATATGTGTGTTAAAAAGTTAATAACTTATGAGGATTAATCTCAGTTTACTATCCTGAAGTTTCTTGGTTTTCAACATTTGGTACATTTGGGAGAAATTTCATGTACACTCTAGGACGAAAAAAAACTTCATGTACCAAATGTTGAAAGAAACTTCAGGGTAGTAAACTGAGATTAACCCAACTTATAAAATACAATTTTCACCATTTGCATAAAAACACGTGATGAACCAGCCGTGTTTCGGTTTCCAACATTTATGGTAGTAGATTGAGTTTCCCAAATAGGGCCCAAAAAAGGAATCCAGATCCTCTCCTGAGCTTATATATGCGGATCCAGTGGACCACATAATCGTGGTCGTTGATCCAAATCGTGCGGTCATGAATCTATAGCTTCTCTATATGCAAATCGTGGCCTGCTTCTTTCTCTTTCCTTTGGAAGTGCCGAATGCTCGACAGGTTGCTGTTCACAAAAGATTTCAATTCCGATGTGGCTGTCCGCGTTCAACAACAACAGTTCCTATGTATCAGAATGCTCTTAACATGGAAGCGTCGAATTGCTCTTGACAGAAGATTTGAATTCCAAACAAAATTAAGACAAATAATTGATGACCCAATTTGAATTTTGATCCAAATGCAACAACCCAATTGTTTAATTTTTGTTTTAATAGAGATTCTTCTTTTCTGGTTAAAAACCCCGGTCGAGCTAGAGGAAATGGAGGGTTTTTTTTTTCAGCCATGGTGGCGAATCAGAAAGCGTGGGTCAGTGACTTGGCGCAGCTAGTCGTCGGAGCCGATGCGGCAGTCGCGTTCAACATCAGTTTGAGGGGGTTTTGGGGCTTATGGACCACTTGGGCTGCTAGAACGCGGTGCTCAAGTTCGAGACGGAGAAGCATTCCATCTGGGAGAGGAAGGAGAACAGCAGAGAGAGAGAGACAAGTGAAGAGAAGAAAATGACATACTGAAGAAAGAAGCAAGAAAAGAACTTTGATTTGGGGAAAGAAACTTGGATTCATGACCGCACGATTTGGATCAACGGTCACAATTATGTGGTCCGGTGGATCCGCATAGATAAGCTCAAGAGAGGATTTGGATCTCAAAAAAACACTGAATTGATTAGACAACTTTTAGATTTAGACCCCAAAATTGCACTTTTCTGGTGATATGCATGAACACAAATACCTTCATACGAGCTGACAAACCTAACCTTATCCCTCCATTTTATTATTAGCTAACATTTGCCTACCTACTTTGTATGTATGAACACATTTTTTTAGAAAGTGAGGAGAGGGGGAGAGAGAGAACGTGGGGGAGTGAGAGATTTTTGGTTTTTTAAATATTGAAGGTATTTTAACATCACATGTAAATGAGACTTCAATAAAAAACAGTAAAATTTAGACTTGTGAAATTACATTATAGCAATGTGACAAAAAAACCATCTCTAACTGAGGGCCAAAGGGTTATAATATGAAATGTGAATAATTGAAATAAAATGATGTAAGATAGTATGAAATGGTGAAAAATATGTGAGAAATGGTATAGGGAAAAATTAGAAATTAAAAAAAAAAAAGAAAGTGGGCTGGGAAAATGGAAAAAAACAAAAAAATAAAAAAGAAAAAAGAAAAAAGAAAAAGTGGACTGGGTAAATGGAAAAGAACAAAAAAACAAAAAAAAAAAAAGGGCTAGCCGGTTGGCCCTTTGGTCATTTTTTGTCCCGTGAGGTTCATTAGCCATTTGATCTAACCTTCTGTTGGAGATGATTTCTAGGTTATTTTCAGCCTTCTTGTTCTTTAACCTTTTGGTTGAAGATGATCTTAAACCAGATTTGGACGGACCAATTTGAATCCAGAAATGAAATGATGAAAATGGACATTGCCCACTTGGAATTTATGACGTACACTACGCTATTTTGCATGGACTCCAACAAACGAAGAAGGAAGGCGGCAGGATAAAAAGAGGAGTGGAAATAGTCTAATCAGGAGAGCCTTTTAGCGGAAAGGGAAAGCCTGGTTTAAAACCTATACGCAGCCGCTCGCGTGCGAAAGACGGATATCGACAATTGGACTGAAAGGTGAAAATCAGGAACAATGATTGGTTCGTATTTCAAATCGCGTATATGGCGCGTGGTTTATCATTTGCAGAATATAAGCATTTAATTTAACTTCTGGCCTTAATAGCTAAGATTCAGGTGATGATGGGATAAAAAAAAGTGAGGGAAGAGGAGGAAACAGCAAACAGCCCGAAAACGAGAGAGAGAGAGAGAGAGAGAGAGAGAGGGAATAAGCTAAACCTAAAAGAGGAGGAGGATAGAGAGAGAGAGAGAGAGAGAGAGAGAGAGAGAGAGAGAGAGGGGAGAAGGTGAAGAAGAGGAAAGAGATCAAAAGTAGAATGTTAATATGTTGTTTGACCTCTCAAATCAGCAAGTAATTGACTGCACTTATTATACAAGCAAGGGAAAAAGAAGAGCAGTTATTGGAGAGAGAGAGAGAGATTCATCAGTCAATCCCTCTGACTTGGTCTTATCAATTTCAATCCCCATACTTGCTTGTATCTCAACTGGGTCTCCATTATTTTCAAGTTTTTGATTGGAGGAGAAGAAACCAGAGAGAACCCATGAATCTTCTTCTGTTTGAGCTCTGTTTGCTGCCATTTCTGGAACTGGGTTCTTCATTTCATTGAAGATTATCAACTGGGTTGGTGCGTTTTGGTGCAAAGCTTGGAGCTTTGGAGGTTTCTGCTTCAATGGATACTCCGCCGCCGGAGGAGCTTCTGAAAAAGATCCAAGAGCTGGAAGCGGGCCAGGCCCACCTCAAGCAGGAGATCACCAATCTCAGGCACTCTGGGGATGTCAAATCAGAGCACCAGAGGGCCCACTCCGTCTCCCCGCAGCGTTCGAGGTTCTCGTCTGTGCCCAGAAGGAGAGTCACTGGGGTGGGCGGTGCGGCTGGTAGTGGAGGTCACGATGCGGCGGCTTGGAAGAGAGGGTCTACTTCGTTTCGGCATTCCTCACCTCTTCAGAGGGAGAGCCGCAGCCATGATCCTCCCACTGGAGGCAGTGGCGGTGGCGGCAGTGGAGGAAGCAGTGGCACGGGGCCTTCAGCTGTGAACTTTACTGATAGACAGTATCTGAACATACTACAGTCGATTGGGCAATCTGTGCATATATTTGATATCAATGGGATTATAATTTACTGGTAAGTAGCTCAATCAAAGTTTGGTTTTTCAGATTTTGATGTTTTTTGTCCACGTTATTGTATTGGTGAATTTTATCTGTCATTAGCATGAATTGCTCGATATGTTTTCTTTAATATTTGTTGGATTACTGGGTGGTTATATAATTTCAAGTGTGGTTGCAAACGTGAACCGTTACGTTATTTGAATTGAGATTGACCATATGTGTGGGTTGTGATGCTGAATTTCTGTTGATGAACCTAAATTGATCAGCATCTGATTTTTTTGTATAAAAATTCCGTGTTTGAAGTATGGTTTGAGTGTTAGAAGGTATCAACTTGGTGCATTTGGGAAAATTGAATAGGGGTTTTTTGAAATGGGTCCAAAGTAACTAAAAATTGGACCTATTTCAAAAGTCAAAAGTCACTAAAAATTGGACCTATTTCAAAAGGTAGTCTATAAAATTGGACCTATTTCAAATTTTCCCAATTGAATATTGCAGGAACAGAACTGCTGAAAATTTATATGGTTATTCTGCGGCTGAGGCCCTTGGACATAGTCCTGTTGAGCTCTTATCAGATCCTCAAGACTACGGTGTCGCAAACAATATAATAAACCGTGTCACCAAGGGGGAGAGCTGGACTGGGCAGTTCCCTGTCAAGACCAAAACTGGGGACAGGTTTACGGCCTTTGTAACAAATACTCCATTCTATGATGATGATGGCACTTTTATTGGGATTATTTGCGTGTCAAGTGATATCCGGCCTTTTCAAGAAATGAAGATTCCAATGTCAGGAGGAAAGCCCCCAGAATCAGATTCAAGCTACAGCCGGTCTAGAGCTTGTGTTACAGCTAAACTTGGCCTTGATCCTCAGCAGCCTCTACAAAATGCTATTGCATCAAAAATAACAAATTTGGTTAGTCTTATAGTTTCCATGTTTCTTTGATTTATTATTCACTAGTGTATCCTGATTGTTAGAGTCCTGAAACAGGCGTCCAAAATGAGCAACAAAGTAAAATCGAGAATTCGGGTGGGAGAAAACAACATAGATCACGAAGGTGAGGGCGATTGTCATCGTTCTGATCATGGTTCAAATTGTGTTCTCTCTGATCATAGGGAGGATGTGAGTTCAAGTTGTGCTACCACACCTAGAGGCGATTTGGCCCCATCTCCTTTTGGAGTATTCTCCCATATTGATGAGAAGTCTCCAGGAAAACCCTCCAGAGATTCTGGCAATGAGAGTGAAGGAAAACCTTCGATCCAGAGGATGATATCCTTGAAAGCTGAAGCATGGATGGGTAAGAAAGGGATAACATGGCCATGGAAAGGAAATGAGAGAGAAGAGCTAGAGACTAAGAGCACTCGTTTTGTTTGGCCTTGGTTGCCTAATGAACATGAGAATGATTCAGTTCATCAGAGGAATTATTTTGGTTCAAAACCAGAAAGTCAGGTGAATGAAAATAACCGGACTACAAATAATGAGGCCTCAGGATCCTGGACCTCCTCATTTAATGTTAACAGCACAAGCAGTGCCAGCAGCTGTGGAAGTACCAGCAGCAGTGCTGTGAATAAGGTGGATGTAGACACTGACAGCCTGGACTACGAAATCTTGTGGGAAGACTTGATAATTGGAGAACAAGTTGGGCAAGGTAATCAGACCTGTCATGCTTCTGAAGTATTGATTTCTTTATTTCTGGAAACTGTTTAATTGATGTCGGTAAAGCATGTCTGTAATCACCCAAATGAGCAAAGGTGATTAAATGAATCGTCCAATATATGTTTGATCTTTCCCAAATCATGTACTGTTTTCTTTGAATCATTAATGACACGGGTAAAGGACTTTAAAATTTCCAAAATATCCATCTAATGTCCATTTTTTCAGTAGGTAGAATTGGTCATTTTGACCAAACAAAAGTTCTCTTGAACTTATGCTCCTTTCTCTTGTGAGTTTATGCTTTTATGGTTTGATTGGTTGAATTTCATCCTGACATGTATTTGCTGTTTTCCTCCATTATGCAGGATCATGTGGAACCGTATACCATGGTCTGTGGTATGGATCAGTATGTTCTTCTACTCTGGTTAACTTTCACTCTATATGGATGCCCACAAAATAGTTCCAGATTTAACTGAAATGATATGGTCAAGTGATGATTTCCATTTACTCGTATTTTCAAAGAAAAAGAAAAAAGATGGTAAAAAAATTCCAATTACCCTACTGAAAGACAAAATGCAGTTCAATTTGCAAGCAGTGAAAAGAAAGAGCTCCGGAAAGGTCTTCATAACCATAGGGTTTTCATGCCTACATGTTATGCATAAATCATGAAATTAGATGAAATGCCATACGTAGCACTCAAAGTCTATGATACGGGTGTTGTCTTGGTCAAACCATAATTTTGCAGTATAAATGAGCGATTCATTTATTCACACGATCTAGGTGTAATATTGATGATGCATGTGGGATGTTCATGAATATTGATGATGCATGTGTGAGGAATATTAGGAGTAATTTGAGCGTATATTTTTCATGTGTGGTTTAATGGTTTCTTTGTTCTCACAGGATGTTGCTGTCAAGGTATTCTCCTGGCAAGAATATTCAGAAGATGTGATATTTTCCTTCAGACAAGAGGTGTGTTTTCTATCTGCTAAGGATTTGTACTTGCTTATGTACTTGGGAAGTAGATGAGAGTTTGACTGGAATGTTTGAAATATAACTTTTGGAGATTTCTCTTGAAGCCTGTGGGATTATGTTTGAAATACTGTTAAAATATCTCCTACTTTTTTTTTCCTTTATGGTTAATTTTGCGATTGTTATTCATTTTGTTCAATAATGATGTCACAATATGGTATTGTTTATCAAGGTGTCTCTCATGAAAAGGCTTCGACATCCAAATGTTCTGCTTTTTATGGGAGCTGTGACTTCACCTCAGCGTCTCTGCATTGTAACAGAGTTCCTCCCTCGGTTGGTTCTGAACTTCCTTTCTGAAATATCTAGCATTACCAGTATTTAAATTTAGGTTTATTATTTCAACGAATGTACAAGTGTTTTTAGCATATTTTCTTTGTAAAGTACTTCTGAGCAGACTGTGCCTTTCGTATCAATATTTTTTTGATGCAGTGGAAGTTTGTTTCACTTACTACAAAGGAACACATCAAAACTAGATTGGAGGCGACGTGTTCATATGGCGATAAATATAGTGAGTATTGAGTAATAGTACGAAAATGGTAGATGTAGTGCCCCCAACCCCTTTCTCACTACCTTAAACCATTTCACAGGCACGAGGCATGAATTATCTTCATCATTTCAACCCGCCTATCATTCATCGAGATCTGAAGTCTTCAAATCTCCTTGTTGATAAGTACTGGACTGTTAAGGTCTGTTATCAGTCACGTTTCTATTTCTTAAATCTTTCTCCATGAGTTTTTTCTTCTTGTGCTTTTACAGCAGTTTGATCAAGTTAAGGCACAATGAACTGTTTGATGTTATCTTAACAGGTTGGTGATTTTGGTCTTTCACGTCTTAAGCACGATACATTTCTCACAACCAAGACTGGGAAGGGCACGGTATTTCAACTCACACCACTATATCCTCTTTACGAATTGTAGTAAACCCGTCAGTCTAAACGTTACTACATGAGGTTCTCACATAAATATGCCAACTTTCTCATTTGTAGCCTCAATGGATGGCACCGGAAGTTCTACGTAATGAACCCTCAGACGAGAAGTATGTTGTAATTGTTCATCTAGAATCTTAAAAGCGTCCTTGTCCTTCTACAGCTTCTCTAAACTAAACTCGTCTCTCTTCATGATGTTTGGAACTTCGGACGCACACAGGTCTGATATATACAGCTATGGGGTGATATTGTGGGAGCTTGCTACTGAGAAGATCCCTTGGGATAATCTGAACTCAATGCAGGTATTGTTTTCTTTGGGAAAAAGAACTCTTGGTAGTATCTTTTCAAATATGTTACGTGCACATATGAACAGAAATTTATTTAGGGTACTTGTAGGTGATTGGAGCTGTAGGGTTCATGGACCAAAGGTTAGAGATCCCAAAGGACGTGGACCCGCAATGGACTTGTTTAATTGAGAGCTGCTGGCAGAGGTAGTAATTCTTTCCATGCTTCTTGGTTCATTTCCAAGTTGAATTATTTTAGTTTCCTTCTTTGTGAAAACTGTAAACTGAAAACGAAATAGTTATTGAACGACAACCCTTTTAACTTTTAAAGAATCAAATGTTGGTAAAACGGCTAATGTGCTGATATTCCAACTTCTTCAATGAAAACCAGTGATGCAGCTTCCAGGCCAACATTTCAAGAACTGCTGGAGAAGCTCAGAGACCTGGAGAGACAATACACTCTTCAGTTCCAAGCAGCGCGTGCCGCCGCGGGTGATAACACCCCGAAAGAATTGTAGCCCCTCTCGCCTGAGCTCTGTGTGCATTAGGGTTTTCACCACTTCCATCTCTCCTACCAAATTGTGGATGAATTACAGCAGTGACAAAATTGGCAATGAGCTACAGACATCCCACAAACGGCATGTCGTATTGGAGCCACAGAGTTGGAAAGTCAGATGGCAGAAACGGCATGGCGTATTAGACTGGTTGATTGGTGGGTGTAGTGCGACAGGGAGAGTCATGTCGATTGGATTGGATGACATGATAATATGTCACCAGTTTTTGTGATTTATAAAAAATGTTGTACAAAATATGAGAAAAAGAAAAGAAAAGAAAAGAAAAGAAAAGGGTAAAAATACTTGGCAGTGAGTTATTCCTTTGAGTAAGTAGAGTGATAAATCTCTCCTTGCATTATTTACCTTCTCTTTTACTTCTACTTTTACTTTTACCATTTTTAGATGGGATGATAATCTCATTAATTTAGGAAATTGTTGTTAGCACTAAAAAAATCTCATTCTACACGTCAAATTTTTTATATTAGGAAAGAAAAATACATTTGTGAGGAGTTTAAAATGAGATTTTTGAAGTGTCAATAACACTTCCCTTAATTTATTGGGTGTTTATTATTGATCTACTAATAGGCAATTATTTTGAATAAAATTTGAAATTGAATTGGTTCTTTGTTGATGTGATTTGCAATGGTTGTTACTTGTTTACAAACAAGTATGTAAGGTCATCTCCAACCTACCTGGCCAAAGGATTATAAAGTTCAAAATAGTTCAAAATGATACGAAAACGGTATCCAACCGAGGGTAAGACCAAAGGGCTTGAGAGTCCCATTGGGTCAAAAATCTAAAATCAGGCTAACCAGCTGGCCCATTCCAGCCAGCCAACCAGCCCCGCCTGGTCCAAAAATTTGAATTGCAACAACTACCTGACGCCAGGGTTATAGGACGCTCCCTGACCCTCTTTCAGTTAGAAATGGCCCAAGGATGGACGCGGTTTGTTTAAATCTATTTCACCACAAAACTTCGGTCATGCTAATTGTTAAGTGATGCGATTTAATTCAATTTGAGCTAAAGCTGAAAAGCCAAACCAAAGCACTATTTGATTATTTCTTTTGGTTTGGTTGGTCTGGTGTTGATAGTTTAAACTCAATTTTCTATTGGTTTTTGTGGTTTTTTTTTCTTTGTGATTTAGATGAACAATATAAATAAATAAAAGTGTGGTGACGGTTTTATGGTTTTATGTAGGCTAAGCCAAGCAAAGTACGGTTTCGTTCAATTTGATCCAAATACCCATTTTATAGTGTTAAGAGATTGAGTAAATTATGGTAATGATTCCTTAATTTTAACTCAATTGGAACAATGATTCTTCAATTAAAAATCCATTACTATTGGTCCCTTAACTCATCAAAATGTGTAGATACTAGGTATGGTCATTTTTGTCAACTTCTTTAAAATTTTGTCAAAATAAATTATGTTGAAAGGCCCATTGCCACAATTGAGATCCCTTAAGTTATCAAAACGTGTAGCTATAATCATTTTCATCAATTTCGTTAGAATTTTATCAAAACCAGATATGTTGGAAGGACCTAACAATTCCCATTAAGCGCGGGATGGATTGGCCACTCCTGCCACAGGTCTAAGGGTAAAGGCTGCCTCTTGGTGACCTAACAATTTCCATTAAGCGCTAAAATAGTTCAAGTCGCACGGAGCTTGTAGCTTAGTCGGTTATTCATCCTTGCATTGGACTCCCCCCCTCCCCCAATACCACTTGTATCCAAAAAAGAAATAAATCCACGTCAACTGATGCCAACAATTTACCTAACAACTCACAATACAACAATGTAATTGTAATTCCATATCCGAAAGCATTGAAGAAGCAAAATTTGAAGGAAAAGAAACCCAAATCTTATCATATTGATTCTCCCAAGGGTGATTCATTTTCTAGCGAAGCAAGTGTCGAATGGCAGCGACGGCATCGCCTTTGTGCTCCCGCAAGGTCCTCTCGGCAACCTTCTTGTCCAACTCTAGCTCATTTGCAATTATGTCAACATCACCTGCATTGATCTTCACTGCAGCCAATTCCTTCTCCCTGTAATGTGCAATGAAAAAAGCTTTACAATACGAGCATGACAGTCTCAACAAATAACATTCCCTCTTATGCTTATGTTGGACGTCATAAGATGCAGTTACTACACTTCACAATATCGAAATATACCCCAAATCAAGTCAACAACTTCATACAAATTCCACGACGACAATCGTTAATGTTAGTGAAAAACAGTTCAAGAAACGAACTTTATAAAATGTAACTCCTCACCTATCAACTAGTAACTAGTAATGTCGGGTGCAGTAACAGTCGAGTTCAGCTTTTTTCTCTTCAAATTGGTGATTTTTAAGTGCATCTAACTATTATTTTCGCAAAGGGCTCGTAACTCACTTGGTTAAGAGCATTCCGCTTGAGGTCCCGGGTTCAATTTTCCCCTCCCAATTATCGCTTGTATATTATAAACTATTGCTTTCAAACCCTTACTACTCAGTAACAAAAAAAAAAAAAAAATCCAGTCTTTTAATAGCATATGAATCAAACTAGATAATAAGTTAAGCCAATATTGAAAAATTTGATAGATAAAAAATTTGACAGACAAAAAATTAGAGCGAATTGGAATATACCGACCTCAATCGCATAGCATTCCAGTCGGCTTCGGAGGAGGCGGCGATGGAAGCCATGGCCTCCTGGACGCGGGTGGAATCGAGCTGTCGATCCTCCACGCGGTCGGTGAGCTTATCGAAGGCTTTGCTCTGCTGCTGCAAGTCCTTGGAGTCCACCACCATCTCGACTCCTTCTTCTCCACCTCCCTCCATTTCTGCGGTTCTGATTACGATTGCGGTTTCTTCGTGTGCTTCTCGCAGTCCAGAAACTGAAATTTGAAACCCCCTTTCGTTTTTTCTGAATGAATTTGGTAAAAACCCTAGCTTTTGCTCTCTTTTGAGAATTGAAGACTTGGAGTAGTGGTGAATGGTGGTGGCTGAGAATTGGGATTGAGGACCATGTCAATAGTGGGCTAGAATTTGGGAATGGCCCAACAAGAATTAGATTGGGTAAGCAAAGCCTCGACTAGGTGAAGAATCATTTGGATATTTACCAATTGAAATGGCTAAATATAATCCCATTCAGAATTATAGTTCAGTAAAATATTATTTTTTAATGAACAATATTATACCATATTCATATACGATTTCTAACTGAATGGGCTAAACATGGCCCCTCAATCATTTATTAGTTTTAAGTTTATACTTTAAATTTATTAATTAATTTAACTAAAATACATTTAGATGTTTTCAAATTTAACCGTTGAATTTGAATCAATTATTGTAAATAAGGAGCTGGGCTCCAAAAAAGGGGCTAAGAGGGGGGCTATATTTGGTCAACTTGATGCCTTTTGGACAAATAATGACATGATGGACTCCATAAAAATATAGCCCAGCTCAGCTTTCCGTTGAAGATGAGATTTTTGAAAAAATAAGACTATTTTTAAGTTTTTGAACCTTTAACCATCTCCGAATAGCGTAATTAAATGTCCTTAACGTGCCATACAACACCAGGTCTATAATAGACTATCATGCCTTACATAATGTGCTTAGTGGTTGAGCGCACACCGGCTGGGACACCACAGGGACTACGTACAAAATTATGTTCCACCGGCTAATCATGATTATTTGTCAGAATGAGGTTTGAATTTTGCACCATTTCATTAACTATGTTTCGTAGAAATTAGTCCACAACTTAAGCATCCAACTGCATGCATTTATGTTATTGTGTTCTTCCTGAACTACATTACTGTACTCCATGCTTGCTTGCACCACTATAAATATTCGATGCTCGTTACCTAAGTTTATCAAACCAAACAATTCACGATTCCCGTTTCCTATATATCGATCTCTCTTTAATTTATTTGTTATTGGGGGAAACATGGGGAAGTTTTCTAAGTTTGTTGGGTTGTTTGCTGTGACGTTTGTAATGGTGCTAGCAATAGCGGAGTGTCGTAAGATTGAGAAAGAAACATTTTCTGAAGGCCTAGGAGGTGGTTTAGGTGGTGGTGCTGGTGCTGGTGGGGGATTTGGTGGTGGTGTAGGAGGTGGAGGCGGTGCTGGTGGTGGCTTGGGAGGTGGTGCTGGTGGTGGTGTAGGAGGTGGAGGCGGTGCAGGTGGTGGCTTAGGAGGTGGTGCTGGTGGGGGCTTTGGAGGTGGCAAAGGTGGCGGTGTAGGAGGTGGATCCGGGGGTGGTGCCGGAGGTGGAGTTGGCGGTGGAAGTGGAGGTGGTGCTGGTGGGGGATTTGGTGGTGGCAAAGGTGGCGGTGTAGGTGGAGGTGTTGGTGGAGGCGTTGGGGGAGGCGCGGGTGGAGGCGTTGGGGGAGGCGCGGGTGGTGGTGTTGGAGGAGGAGTTGGTGGTGGAGGTGGTGCTGGTGGAGGCATTGGGGGTGGTGCAGGTGGTGGTGTTGGCGGTGGAGGTGGTGCCGGTGGAGGTGCTGGTGGAGGCTTTGGGGGTGGCAAAGGTGGCGGTGTTGGAGGAGGAGTTGGTGGCGGTGCTGGTGGAGGGATTGGTGGTGGAGTTTAACTCCCAAATTTAGCTATCGGCTATACCTAGCTAATGCTATCATGCAAAGTCGTACGTGTAAGACTCCATGCATGGAACTTGTATTACCTTCTACTACTAGAGAATAAATGAAGACATGTAACGTGCCTAGGTATTACCTTCTGTTGAAGAGGGGAGTGCAAATATCCAATCCCATTTATGTGATGAAATGCTACTGCATCATTAAGATTAAACAAAGATATGGTCAGGTCCTCATGTGCACTTCCAATTTCACATTTTTCTTTCCTCTCCTGGACCCCAAGCAACAACATTAGCATTCTGTGCAAACACTTTGTTCTCAATTTTTCTAACTTCGGCACAACCGAATTGTCGAATACCATAATTCCCTTAAACTGTCCGTACTCATAGATACACGATAATTCATGAAAAGATCAAATTTCTCATGATTAAACAACATAGTTCGAACAGTTACTGGCATCGTACAATGTCAAGCAGTTTGGTAATTCTATCCAAATTCACCTAATACATTGAGCACAGAATGCTGACAATCTGAATTGACAAAGCTAGAATGTTAACACATAAGAAATGTTATTTTTCTTGACATGCAGTAGTCCATCAGACTGTAGCCTTGATTGGATTTGGACAGAATTATATATCTGAATATTATTTTGATTAATACAACATGCCGTTTACATTTTGTAGGGAAAGAAACTTATCAATCAAACATATGATCGCCTCTTGCACTCATCACTGTAAGCTCGGCCCCCTCGGCACATAAATTAATTTACAGCCAAACTGGCAGCCATTCCTGGCCATTGATGAAGTCGATAGACAAGAAGGGTGCAACTTCTTTTTCGGTCAGTTGTCTCGCCCATTCGGCACGCCCTGTAGCCTCAGCTCCTGGCCCTTTGCACTTGTACTCGGCATGGTATAAGTTTCTGCAGATTTCATTTTATTCACAACAAATCAAATCATAAATTTAATTGGAATATTTTTTAATGCAAACATGTGTGTTTGATCAATTATTTAGGTGCATGTTTCTTACTCAGTTCCGCCGGAATAGCTCCAGTTGGTCCAACCTTGTGGCACGACCGTCTTCGAGAGGTACATGTTTGCATAAATCACTCTGGAGAAAGCACCCTTTGCCCTACCTAGGTACACACTGTCACCAACACCATAGAGCTTGCCTTTGTTAAAAACAAATCCACTGTTCTCCTTCTCAGTCTCCCTATTTTGAGCTGTCACGGACCCCTTGATCGACACCCTCTTGTCTCCGATAACAAAGACCTCGCAGCTCTGCATGCATGGACGCATCCATGATTAATTAATTAGTCCTATCCATGATTTTTTGGAGCGCTAATAACAAGTTTTAAAATTAATTATGAAGGTGATGAAGTAGTAATATTACTTACGTGGAAGACAGATCTACCACGACCAAAGATGAAGTCAATGGAGCCCTGGATGTAACAATTATCATAGTAATGTCTGCCTTTGTAATCGAAGAGGGTGTTATGGGTACTGTAAAATCCACAATGGTAGAATGCAACTTTGTCTGCAGCTACAAATGCTGCAACTGACTGGTTCTGCGAGGTGTAAGCCACACCGGTCGGGGCCTCATTCTGCACAACGTTGCATAATTTATATATGAGACCTATAGAGTAATGTCATTTATGTATATAGGGATCCGGAATGTTCACGCCAAGTTATGTTGCTAGATTGCAAATCTAAACCGTTGATGGTATGTTATCCATATTAACATTTGTTTGGCAATATAAATCCGGCAAGAAAACATTGCCGTGCTCAATAATTGTTAAATATACAAATATACAGAAAAAGAAAATGAAGATGAACCTTGAAGCTGATCCCGAAGGCAATGAAATGGGGAGCTTCGACACTGAAAGTAGCAGATTCGACATTGTCCGAAGAGCTTTGTGACCAAACAATGGCGGACCTGCCCTTCCCATTTCCTCTCATGAATATGTAGGGCTTATTATTTGGTATGATCACCTTTTCTCTGCCCGCCAAAACATATATCCATTAGATAACATGCATAATTAAACTTGTGAATTATTCATAGCTAGTTTTGCTTTAATTTCACAATTCACAGAGTAATTAATTGATGGTTCAGTTACCTGTACACTCCTTTTCTAACATGGATGATGATCCATTGCTTATTTCCTTCAGGAACAGCATCAATGGCTGCTTGAACAGATGTGAAATCTCCCTTGCCGTTGATGTCAACCTTAAGCGTGCGGTTCGTGTGAATCTTCTGAGTCAGTAAGGGGGAATCTATTACCTTTTGTGCAGTCAAGCCATGAACAACATTCGTGAGAGTTACTGAGGTGAAAAAAATGATTGCAAAGGTTATGAATGTTGTGGACGAAGACCAAGCCATGTTTCTAGGGAGAAACACAATCTGCAGTTTGGGTGAATTAATAATGTTCACCTAGGGGGGTTTTTTTTTTGTGAGGCAACGAGGTTCTCAAAGTGAAGGGGGGCTTTTATTCATTTACGGCTGCGGTTGTTTGGAAAAATTGAGTGTACATGACAAAAGCTGGAAGTCAATAGGCTAACAAGATTCTAACTATTTTAGAGGGCCCACCGTTGGTTTAATTTCAACTATTTTTGTTTTTCACGAGCAATCTAGGATAGGCGGTTATTGCGCACTCTAAAACGAGAAGAGAGACAAACACAAACAAAAATATATAGATCCCGTTATATATGAGTTATAACTCTAAAATAAATGTTTGAGAAGAATTTTGTGACTCGGATTGTTTATGTTAAAATTTTGTTGTGCAATTATAAGACACGTCTTGAAGCTTAGTAAGGAAAATATATTTTCATTTGTCACTTTTAATATATTGTCATTCTTTGAGCGGAATATCAGGATGATGACTACGTATGATCGTACTACAATTTTTTTCTTCTGTTTTAGCGTATGAACATATTGTACTGTACACAAAACTGCATGTCCACGCCATTAATGTTACACGTTAAAAAATGAATAGTATAGCGAGACGACGTTATTTGGGTGAAGATTAATGGGCTCGCGTAAACCCTTTAAATCTGTCCAAATCATTGAGAACTGAATATTGCATTCATAATGCATGTTTACCATGATCAGGTGAACCGCAAGTATGCTACATTACACTTGTATTGCACCAATCCCTTTTGTATCCGTTTGATTAGGTTGATGCTCGTACCGTCTTTTTAGGTCATATTTGTAGATAATATAATGTAATCGTTGATGATTAGGTTTTTTCTTTAAATCACCAAAAATGAAATTCAACCAATAACCTTCACATCATATAGTTTACAAAATATGGTATAAAAGAATGATCTCTTATTGTTTTTTGAATGACAAAGCGTGGTCGTAGACTTTTGCTAGGTGTGGGATTTTACCGCGTCAACAAATGTCCGAGCTCCCTAAGTTAATATTTGTTTGTATAAATGCTATCGTAGTTTAAGATCAATATATGTCTGCAGTCCATATATATACAGTGATTATTTATAAAATAAGATACCATTGGGAAAAAGCTTAAAGCTTATATATGGCTGTATATATGAATGTGTAGATGGGTCCAGCATACAACATTCTAAGAAGTCCAGTTTGCATAAATGGCTCTTGTAGTTTTTCCGGATTTTCCCTCATCTAATTTGTTAATTTATTACTTCTGCATTTTCATCCTTGTAGTTTTGTTTTGTTTCTCTTTGTTCAATTCGTTTACTAATCAGTTGATGTATTCATCCGTTTTGTGAATAATATCATTGATGCACTTTGACAAAGAGAAGATCAAACAACGTTAATCTTAAAGAATAAGGAAATTGGAATATGTGAGAATATGAAGGTAAGAGGGTCCAACATTGGTGAAAGAATAAACCTTATAAGGACGTATAAGAGGTTGGACTACTCCTCATATTGCAAATTGGTTATATGGTGGAACCCAATGGCGAAGCCACGTGAGTGCGATGAGTGACGGTCGCCACTCCCCTTGCAGGAAAACACGCCTAGAGCAAAGGTTCAGCCCCTCCCCTCGCCAGAAACTGGATTGGTTCAGCCCCTCCCTGTTCCGGTGCACTAGCTGGTTGGTGGCGCGGAAAGGACCGATTTTGATGTTCTAGGGCTTCTCAGGGTAGGAATTGTGAAGAGGGTTGGATTGAATTGGCATGTTGGATTGGATTTAGAATTAGGGTTTTGATCGAGGATTGGGGTGTTAAATTGGGGGAATTGGGGGGTTTTGGGGTCGAATTTGGTGGTCTAGAGAATTTGAAGGGTTGGAGGGAGACAACTGAATTGGTGGGCAGCGGTGGTGGTGGTGGCGGTGGATGGTGGTGAGATTAATGTTTGATTCTAATCATGTGGGTAAAGGTTTTTAGATGGTTGAAATGAGTTAGGAGTTTATAGGAAACAGGACGACGCTTGCCAAAAACATATATCACACATTGATTAAGTAATTAAATGTGGAGATGCATAGTGAGTTTTCATCATTAAGAGGAATTGGTGATCTTGCAAAGGAGTTCGTGAAAACTGGGAGGTATGCAAGCTATATGCTAGTGTATAAGCTTCTTACATTAGTTTTGGTGTTACCGGTTGCAACTGCTTCGGTGGAAAGAACTTTTTCTGCTATGAAGATTGTGAAAACACCATTGCGTAACACAATGGGAGATCAATCGTTGAGTGATGGCATGTTTGTTTACATTGAGAGTGATGTATTTACTTTTATTGATAATGAGCCTATTATGCAACGTTTTCATGATATGAAACCTCATCGGTAACAATTGTAATTTGTTTGTATTGATAAATTATGGAAGATATTACTATATAAAAGGATTTGGTTGTTGCTATTTTTTTGAACTTTGCACTCTTTTAAAGGAAAACTAATGAAAAGTGTTTGAAAACTTTGAGTTTTAATGATAAGGACAAAATAAAGGGTAAATTGAATAGTACCAAGATTGACTTTTTAGTGTAAAAATATGATTTTTCGTTAAAGTGAACAATATTGTGGACTTTTCGTTAAAACTCCCCTCTTTTAACTTCACCCCCTCCCGCCGTCAATTCCTAGCTTTGCCACTGGTAGAACCCAATTTTCTTCGTGATATCAGAACTCCATATTGGAATCCCAACTTCCACCACAGAAGTATGAGAAAATCTCAAAGATTTAATTAAATAATTACTAAGATAACAAACCTAATACCCCCAAAAGTTCTATTTATAATGTCCTTAAATAGAGCTTCGGCTTTTGGCCCGATTTATGCCTTTTGACTTGCTCTTCCATCATTCCCCTGATCTACATCAATAATTTGATAGAATTGCATTTTTTTTTTCTTCGCTTAAAATGAGCTTGGAGTTTTTGTAATTTTTTAATATTTAGAATCCAAGATAGAGCTCTCATGCATGTCTTTTAGCGCTTTGTAACAAAAACAATAATTATTAAAAAAAAAAAAATCCCTATATCTATTTAGTGTCTCCTATGTTTTATTAGTCACTTTTGAGCTTCAATTTTCTAACTATATTTTATCAAATCCTAAAAAAATAAATATGAAATATATAATTTGAGACTTTTCGTTACAAATTTTGTACCCTTTCATTTTGTGCTGAAACATGTTTCAACACAAAAGCTAAGCTTGAACATCATGAGTTTGGCATAAAAAAATTCCAGTGTTTTTCAGTTTGGAAGCCGTTGCCCTCCTTTGGCAGATTGGACTACTGCCAACGGAATAACACTACAAGGAAGGAAAAAAAAAAACTATTGAGATGAAACTGAAAATTCAATTAAACTAAAAGAACCATATTAGTACAATTTTGCCTGAAAACAACAAAGATTTTTGGAGGAAGTTAGAGATCTACTTACAAGTTAGAGAGACAATTGCTTTGCACTACTCATATATATGGGTGTGTGTGGGAGAGACAGAAAATTTTCGAGTAAATTAGATGCTACAACAATTGGTGAACAAGTGAAGCTTTCTGTGATGAAAAGGGCTCAAAACACCTGAATATGACTTGTCAGCCTTCATAAATAGATAAAAAGCTAACATGGCTCCATAATGATGTGTTAGGTTAATTTCAGGAATTATTAGCGATAAAATTGATTCAAAAACACCTTTTAGTTTTCAAAAATGATAAATGTAGCTAAGTTAATTATATACAAGTAGTTGATTGCTCTAGTGGTTAGGATCTTCCTTTTTAACCTTCTGTGTCCCGAGTTCAAAACCTTCCTTCTTGCTTTAGTGTAGTTTAGAGTAAAAATATCAGTTATAATATTTTAGTACTCTTAAGTTTATAAAACAAAAAAATTGGATAAAACGATACGAAACAACGCATTCGGAGTAAGTAGGAGAATATGACTTGCTAGACTACATAAATGGATACACAGCCAACTGTTGGGTCCCAACCCCACATTTTGCAGTGCTCGGTCTATTCTTCTGATCAGTTGCGGTTGACATGCATTTTCTATGAAAACCACCCAAAAACCAAGTCGGTGAAAGTAGATCAAAGAAGAAGAAGATCTACACTGGTGAAAGTTTCAGCCTCATGACATTCTTGCTGACTCCGAGAGCTAGCAGTGCTGCTAGGGTCAGTCTCAGCCGCATTCACTGCCTATTTTCTCGTCTCGACACGTTTTACTATTTTGTTCCTTGCATTCTTGATACAGAGAAGTTTGTAAATGTAATCAGATTACTCTTATCACGTGGTATATCTTTCTACTCAAGTAACTTGTTATATATAATAGTGATGAGCGACGGTATTGATATATACGACTTTTAAAGTAAATTAAAAAAACAAATATACATGTCATAATTTGAGTGAAATAATAATACTACGTGATAGTGTTACGAGTACACTAAAAATACTTTCATGAACGCAGTTGAGTAATTTTAAAACCATGACTTTTGTACAAAAACATATAGGTTTTCATGATCATGTGGTGATTCTTGTTTCATTACTGTGGTAGTTTCAAGTCGTTTTCGAAACCAAGAGGGCCAAACTGTGCAGAGTCTACAATTGATTTGACCTTTTGGGTGTCGGCTTTGATTTTTTAGTTTTGATCTAACATGTATATATGGAAATGCCGAGAGGCAGGGAGCAGAAAATTCTCAGTCCAATAATTAAATTTACAAGATCATAAATGCACAAGAAATTGTGGGGATTTAGATATGAATATGTGATCAATTATCAAGGGCATCACATGTTTGATTTTGACAAACCAAAATAATCAAGGTTTGTGGGAACCATGCTAACTTAATTTCCCGGTATTGAGAAGCATATGATGAATTGGGCAAGTGCACTTCTTAAAGATCTTCAGGTTTAGTCAACCACCAAACTTATCTTCGCCTTTATCATTCAAGCACAGAACCCTAAGGCCTGAATTTTGAAAGGGATCGAACCCTGTTAAGCTTGTGCTATTTCAGTAAAGTTTTCTACTAATTAGTAATTACCATGAACGATAAAGCTTTCTATGAATTACTATGAACGAGGAAGTATATCTTTAGCTAGCCATATGGTAAAAAGGTGGGATGTAGTTGATTTCGTTATGATTACTACCGGTTAGTGTTTTGTAAAAAAAAATATTGTTCGATTTCTTACATGTAAATAGACATTTCTCTTTAATTCATATGAAGATAGATGAGCAGTTCACCATTTTATATGTCAATTAATGTAGTTCATCATAATTACAACAAGAAAAGTTTTTGCACCCATATCATGTCATAATTTGTTCACATGAAGGAATGATGCTTTACATCCAAGAAGCCAACTGTCTTTTGTTAAAAAAAAAAAAAAAATTCAACTCATGAAAACTAAAAATATATGATATGAAATTTGCTTCAAGAAAGAAAATTTGGTGTCAAACTACAAGTAGACTTCTAGCATTTACTTTACAAGATGAGCTGACACTGGAAAAGGATAAACTGTTCATCCGGTCGACGCCGTGCAATGTATTATAAGCTTATTTGGCGTGGCAAAAACCATTTGACAGAAAATATTTAATATCCCTGTCATCTTTGCAAACGCCCTCTTGTTTTGGTAATTTGCATACCCTTTAATTTTAAAGGTTTCCAATTTTCATCACTGTTCTAATAATACTTTTTATTTTCACACCTGCTTGTAATTAGCAGCTACTAAATTCCTACATGTGGGCTAATATTCTAGTAGATAGGGTGCTAAGTTATCACCCGTGCATCTCAAGAAACTCTTCCTCTCTTGCATTATTGTAATATTTTTAAATTTGTTGTAAAATCGACGGTGTATGCAGTGGAATAAATAAATAAGACACAAAATTTACGAGGTTCCTCTGACTAGAGTACATCCTCGGAGCAGCAGTGATGCTTCATTTATATCTGAAGTAATAAGATTACAAAGATAACTCTCTATATTCTCTCCTCTCTTTTTCTTCTCTCTGCCATGAGCCTTGTGGCTTCTCTCTTCTTCCTCTCTTCTTCCTTCTTTCTTTTCTCTCTTTTCAGTCGTAAGGCTTTTTGTTTTTGTGTGTGATTTTATATGGAAGGATGAGGCAGCAAGTGGATTAGTGGACAAACATGTAGAGTTGTAGTGGGTTGGCCATCCACATATTGAATGGCTTATAAGATTACAACACTTCCCCCTTGGATGGCCACAAGCCCTCAATTAACTTGTTAAAATCTTGATCTGTTTTGGATACTCCTCCTGATGAGTATCTTCCCCTGATTTCAAATTCTTTAGGCTGATCATTGATCCTTCTGCTTTAGTCTCTGAGCGGAGAGAGTTGCTGAAAGAGGTGCTTTACTTGTTGGTAACTTTCCACAGGCTTGGTCTTGAACTAGGCTGGAGGGCCTTCTGCTAGACTTCCTCCAAAGATCTGAATTTACTCCTTTTATTTGGAGTTTAATTTGATTCAAGGGTGGTGAACACTTGATCTTGAATCGGACTTGTGATTCATTCAAGGGTCGTCGAGGCTTGATCTTGAATGAAATTGGACCACGAGGAGCTTCACGTGACAAGTGATATTCGGCTTTCTCAAGGATGAATAGGCACGTGTTTATTGCGCTTGTTGATTTTCCACAAGCTTCAATGTATCATTTTCACTTGCCTTATCCGTTCCCCTTGTTGAAGTGGTTTTTCCCTTATGCAGGTGTGACATCTTCTTTTGCAGTATTTGTCCCCTGATTCAGGAAACTCTTCCTCTCTTGCATTATTGTAATATTTTTAAATTTGTTGTAAAATTGACGGTGTGTGCAGTGGAATAAATAAACAAAACACAAAATTTACGAGGTTTCTCTACAGTCAGTGTGACTGGAGTACGTCCTCGGAGCAGCAATGGTGCTTTCATTTATAATCTGAAGTAAAAAGATTACAAAAATAACTCTCTATTCTCTCCTCTCTTTTTCTTCTCTCTGCCATGAGCCTTGTGGCTTCTCTCTTCTTCCTCCCTTCTTCCTTCTTTATTTTCTCTCTTTTCAGCTGTAAGGTTTTGTGTTTTTGTGTATGATTTTATATGGAATGATAAGGCAGCAAGTGGATTAGTAAACAAACATGTAGAGTTGTAGTGGGTTGGCCACCTACACATTGAATGACTTATAAGATTACAACAAAAATCTCATTCTAGAAGAAAATAAAAGCAACTGAAGTCCTACAAGTTCATAATTGCATCAACATATGAAAGAAAAAAAATAAAGAAATATTTGATCTCTCTCTCTCTCTCTCTTTAAGTTCAACTACTGGCTACTGGGGGGTGCCAGACAGAGTTCTGAGTTTTCAAACGGTCGGTCACAGCAGCAGTGATTTAATAGTACTGCAGCCGGTCATCACAATGAATCTGAGAGCTATAGTTGTAGGAATATCTCTGTTTGTTTTCAGCATTTGGGTTGAAGGGCAAGGCCTTTCTTATAATTTCTATGAGAATTCATGCCCACAAGTTGAAGCCATTGTTAGAGCTGCCATCCAGCCTACTTTTCTCCCTGATCCTACTTCTCCTGCTGCTTTTCTGAGGCTCATGTTCCATGATTGCCAAGTTCAGGTAATCTCCCTCCAATTTTATTTTACACACACACACACACACACACACACACACACACACACACACACACATATATATATATAGACGGTTAAACAAAAAAGATGACTCTTCCCGAGACACCTACTAACGTTGCTGAACTCCCTAACATTGTAGTCAACCATGTCTCTGTTTAAAAATTTTACTTGATTCCCTTTCTGAAAAATGTGTATATAATATATCAATTTAGGCAATTGAGACATTGGTTCCAAAAATGAGGCTGATGTGCATGCTATAAAAAAAGTAACTTCGGTATTATATATTTTATTTTTCAGCTTATCATGTCTGAGTTCAGTTATTTGCTCAATAAGTAATGCTTGACGATGTAATTGCAGGGCTGTGATGCTTCAATTCTTGTGGATCCGAATGCGAACATTGTGCCATCAGAGATGGCCGCAGGGAAAAACTTCGGCATCCGAAAGAGGGAGTCGATAAACATTCTTAAATCAATGGTTGAATTACAATGTCCCCAACAGGTATCTTGTGCTGACATTCTTGTGTTGGCGGCTCGAGAAGCTGTGGTTGTGTCAGGAGGGCCACAAATAAAGGTTGCATTGGGAAGGAGAGATTCCCCTTTTGCTCCAAGCTACAAGCTTGCAGATTCCTTGCTTCCTTCTCCCACTATTGGAGTTGATGGCATGCTTCAATTATTTGCAAAAAAAGGAATGACAGTTGAAGAATCTGTGGCCATCATGGGTATTAGCCTTTTTCTTTCTTTTAAGAAACCGAAATGTCAAATTTGAGAGAAAATCTTAGGCGTAACTAGTTGATTACAATTAGGTTTCTGCCTCTCGTTACATGACTACAGAGTGTTGCGTTTCTGTAGGTGCACACACGCTAGGAGTCACGCACTGTTTGAACATCCTAAATCGTCTGAACCAAGCAGACGAAGGCGGCCAAGTACAAGGCATGACTCCTGGGTTTGAAGCGTTCTTAAGGCTCAACTGTCCACAAGGTTCTCTGACATCAAATACAAGCTTTGTTCTTAATGACCCCACAACACTTATATTTGACAACCACTACTACAATCATGTGATTGGAGGCCATGGGATTCTTAGAATTGATGCTGAAATGGTAATGGACCCGCGCACGGCTATGGTTGTCGAGCGTTTTGCTGCGAATCAGGATGATTTCTTTCAGGCATTTTCTTCTGCCTTTGTCAAGCTCTCCAACTCAGGTGTTTTAACTGGGAATCAAGGCGTTGTTAGAAAGAGTTGCAATGCAATAGACTGAAGAGTCAGATGCGTTTGTAAATTGCCATACCATTTTTACCGTATATTTCGGTTTAGTACTGTTACTTATTTACATGATTCGATTCATGTTGATTGTTGAATGCGAATCTTCAGTGTTTATTCAAACTTCAGATCAAGAAGATATATTTCTTATTTATCAATACATTCGCTAATAGTCCAATTTTTCTCACTGTCTCTAACTTTCTGTTCTGTTCTGATTAAAATACAATCCATTTAAGCCTACTAGCAATAAAGGTCCCACAAAGATACAGTTTCCATCATTAAGTCTACTAGCAATAACATAAGTGGAGAAATTTATTATGGTCTTTGTTTGAGCTAATATTTGAATATTGGGCTTAGTAGAAGGGAAGTCCAAAGGCACTAAAACAGGTCGCATTTGCCCCAAGCCCAACCTTGAAGCCTGAATACGGGTTAGAAGCCTTCTCAGACAAGACACAAGCCACGTGTTTATAATGAAAGTGACAAGTGATGGAGACTAACTTATTATCAACCAAAAAGAACTTTTTAATGGCACTGCAAGTAAAAGATGATGACTCACTACCCTCTAAGAGCTTTCAGGCAAGAGCAGAATTAAAAGTAGTTGGGCCAAACTGCTTATAAAAGGGGAAGCAAGCACCTGAGATAAGGACACTTAACCAATCAAACAAACAAACATACAAACTTTGCTCTCAAGCCAGATTTGCATCCAGAAAGCTAAAATCAACCTAGATTCAGTCATTTTAGCAATAGTTTCCTTAGAAAAGCTATCTGTTGTCTAGTGTGAAAGCTCTGCTAAGGCCCTAGTGGTGTACTATCGATTTCCTTGTGTAAAACCTGTTTACCATCCATCCCTTTTTAGAGCACAACCTTTATAAACTCAAAGAGAAGTGGCTGCAAGAGGTTCAACCTTGCCAAACAAGGTGAAGTCTTGCCCGAATCTCTTTGTTTGTTAATTTAAATTAGTAGATATGTCACTTAAATGTACTTTTTAGCATATATTCAAGTTATTCTTAGTCATTTTCTACCTAAGAGTCTCATTTACATCCGGATCTGGTTAACTTAAGAAATTTGTTTTCATTAAAGCACAACCTAGAATCAAGTAAATGGTCTAAAAGGCTTTGGACTCCCTTAATTCAAACATACAAGATCATACACTAAAAGTCATTGTTTACAAGGCAAGAAAAAGAATTCAATGTAGACTTAACTCATCTGCAATAATTTTTTGATAACAAGAAGTTTGAGTAACTTGGGGCACAAATAATCGACTTAAAACACACTCATTCTACATCTGCTATAACTGAGATAGCAGTGGCACGCCAAACTTGTTGTTAGTTTTGATTGTGAGCCTCAAGGCCTACACCTAAGGCCCCACAAAGGCACATTTCAAAACTAACTTTGTACTTTTCTTGAAGCATATCAAGCAGTAAGAAGCCAGCAGACACCAACATACACACTCAAAGTGCCATTAACCCTTGGGGAGCTGTGCGAAATGCTAGATCCATATTTTGCCTCGAACATAGTTTTGGCACGCCTAGTAGGACTTAGTTAGTCTTGTATGCCAAAAAGGAAGAGGAATGAGCGAACCTTCAGGTGGAACACAGAGTACGGGCCATCCCAGTATCTACCAAGATCAGACATGACCTAGAAGATTTCCCTTCCCTACAAGGACCAGCTATTTTGGAAAGCCCGACTTCATCTTAGAAGTCGGGAAGAAATGTGACTAATGAAGACTTGCAAGCCACCATGGTGCAAGTGTTGAAAAGTATGGAGAAGATCTCTTTAGAGTCCAGATGAGAGGTGAGCAGACTCTATTCTTTAATAGGAAGTTTGCGGAGAATACTAGATCTAGAGTACTCTACCCTAAAAGATAGTTATGCTAGAGAAATGATGAGGGAGGCAAACCTTGAAAAGGAACCAGCTATTCCCCTGTTTCCTTTACTCGAGGAAATGAAGGAAAGAGGAAATGAGAGAGTAGGGCCTGGAGCTAGTTAGCCAATATTAAAAGAGATCCTGAAAACTTATTTGCCTGACCCGCTACTATTCTTACTAGATAGTAGGGGATGGGCCGGGCAAGACAAGAAAAAGTATGGAATGAACTAACAAGTTGGAGAATCTAGTGGAAAAATTATGTCCATAATTGCGGGCAAGCCTCCTCCTTATAGGCCACCACCATTGGCTAATAAGGGAGGAGAGGCCAAATGGAGACAGGCCGAACCAAAAAATGAAGCTTTCTCGGGCAATGAGTGTAGCCCGAAGTGGGAACCTCCTTACACCCCATAATAATATAGCCAACCAGCAACTCAGAGATGAGTTAGTTGAGTTAAGAATGATGGTGGTCCATAATGCTCAACCCCAGGCTCGCCTGTTGTTTAGGATCACCTACCAGAAGCCCTACCCTGAGTATATTGATGAGCAGAATCGTTTTCCCCTCAACTTCAAGATGCCCGCGTTCCCAACTTTTAGTGGGGAGAACTATAGTGTGTCCTCTAGAGATCACATCTTCAAGTTTTCTAACTACTTTGTGGCATTTGAAGACAATCCTAACTACAAGTTAAGGTTGTTTGGGAATTCGTTTGTAGGCTTAGCATCTCAGTGGTATTCTTCATTGGCCCCTAATTCCATTGCTAACTAGGGGCAAATGGAGATGGCTTTCCATGAACAGTTCTATATGGTGAAGCCCAAGATGACTATCAACGATCTAGTTGAGGTGAAGCAATATGACCATAAGTCCATAGAGGACTTCATGATGAGGTTTAGAAAGACAAGGATAAGGTGCCAATTCCCTATCAACCATGCCCAACTTATATCCATTGCCAAGAAGGCATTAAGGCTACCTTTGAGAAAAAAGTTTTATGATGTACAATTCAATGAGCTATAAGAGCTGGTAATTGCTGCCACAAAGTATGAGAAGTTGTTGATTGAGGAATAATAAGTGAAACACTCATCCAAAGTGCCACCTTTCTACAAGAGCAAAGCTGCGATTCATCAATTGGAGTTTGAAGAATCAAAGCTTGGAGAAAGTAATGACAATGGAGTAGAGAGGATTGAAATGTGTGCAGTAGAGATGACCATTCCTTTCAAACCTTTAATAGTGAAAGGTTTAGTCCAGTTAGTCAAAGATCAGAAAGTAATGATGAATGACGATGGATTTGTCCATATAAAGCCCCCTAAATACTAGAGTTACTCTTTTAATTTAACCAAAGCCGTGGAGATCTAGAATAGTTGGTGCGGGTAAGAGTGATTATGCCCGACAACACCAAAAAGATGCCTAAACCAGAAGAATTAAGAGAAAATAAGTATTGTAAACTGCACTATACTTTTAACCACTTCATAACCAACTGTGTCTAGTCAAGGGATTGGATACAAGACCTCATAGTCAAAGGAAAGTTGTTGTTGGAGAAACCCCAGGCCAATATGATGATTGACACAGATCATTTCCCAGAGGCCCCAATAAACACGATCAACCTGACTTGGGTTGAGAAAGGGAAGGGAAAAGCCATGTGGGAAGTGAAAGCAGAAAATAGGCAATTTGACAGACCTACAAAATGAGCTATCAGGTTACCTGAGAAACCCAAAATAACCATAGTTAAAGGGGTGGTGTTGTGTAGCAAGTGCCAATGTGAGTGTGAGTTAGAAGTGCCAGCATCAGGAGTTATCATTGATCAAGAGTTGATCAGAAGAAGAGAGAAGGAAAAGCATGAAGGTCATATGAGCATCATGCTGGCAGCTGAAAAAGACACCTCCAGAAATGTCTTCCAAAGATTGGGAGGGGACTCTGAACTAAAAAGCTTGTCTGAAGTATTCAGAAACTATAAAGCCTCAGAAGAAGTGGAGGATAGAGAGGCCAAAATTCCAAAATGGATGGATGTAAGGCCTCCCCAACCAAGTTATAATGATGTCAGAATGAAAGGAAGAACAAAGAACCCAGTATCCCCAGTCACCAAGAATGAGCTCGACTTGGATGAAAATGGTATGTAGTAGGGAATGATGGAAAACCAGTAAAGGAAATAGGAGCTTCTATGATCAGAAGAGTCCAGAGGCAACACAAAGCCCATATGAACTCATTAAAAGTCTCTGCTACATCATAAACCTCTGAGAATGTGAAGTTTGAAAAAGTGCCTCATTGGGGAAGAAATTAACTTCAATGGAGAAGCAAAAATGAGGTGGAAATGGTCAATAGCAAGACTGAGGGAGAATGAGATCATGTGCCACAAAACCTTCATCCTGGAAAGTACATAATCTTCAAGAGAGCTTAAGAGGATATGATAATGATGCCAACCCCAAGATGAAGCCCGCAGCCAATATGTTTTGAAACTATTTCACATGAGAAATGAATACCTTCACCTTTGTTGTTTGATACTATTTGTGAGATCCCAGGGCAAGTGTTAAACTTTGGTATAACTAGGGAGGAATTGCCCGAACTAATGTTACCAAAAGAAGCACATGCCTGGTTAGATAAGTTCATGGACCATATTAGAGGCAAGAAAAAAGATTTACCTGGACCTAGTAACTTCCACGTAAACATGACCTATATTTTATCTGACATGTTTTGTGCCAACCCTGATTAGCCTGCCACAATGTAAGGTGATTACTTGGCAACAGAACTTATGATGGCAATGTTAGTGTTGAGGAAGCAGGAAAAGAAGAATCCAATCAGATAGGTTTGCCCGAACTCTCAAGGAAGAAGCCTGAAATAGTGTATTCAAACATAATGGTCTTCAGCCGAAAGAGAGTATTCTTCGTGGTGGACAGTAGTTCCACTAATGGAACCTTGTTGGGCATAGATTGGATTCACCAGAGTCTCTATGTGCCTTCTACCCTGCATCAACAAATAGCTGTTTACCATGATGCAAGGGCCATGGAACCAGGATTTTGGGAAATGGTGGAGGCCGAGTCATGGCCATTTCTCACTACATCCAACATTGCAGAAGCCAGTTTTTACAATCCCAGTGTTGGGATTCTGCAGTGCCTAGGAGCTGATGAGAATGGTTGCCTGACTAAGGTGACGGCCCAAAAGCTTTTAAAGCAAGGATTGTTTCTCACTAGGGAAGAATGGGATAGACCCCATATCCTTCCAGCTCCCCAACACCAATAAATGTCAGAACAAAAAAGAAATGACCAAGTAGTTGCAGTCAGGTCTTTAATTAAGAAGT